GAACGCTGTGCACTTTAAAGCATTTGTAACCTGCCAGAGAGACACTCCTTATTAGAAAAATAGTTTTTCGCCGGCGGCTATACATCGCTGACATGCTGCTATGTCTTGGGATGGCAACGCGGGGACTAATAGATTTCATAAGGAAGGGAAGAAAAATATTAAAAAGTCATGACCAAGTGAACCCGATCAAACCGTTTACATTTAAGGTATCAAGTAAATGAAAAATTGCCTATGTGAGATATTGTATCATTAGAACCTTCCGACAAGGCCAATTTAGGAAAATAATTGATTATAGACAGTACGACACGACGCTGTTTTGAAGGTCCGCGCACATGGTCTAATACGTTGCGCAACGTTAATTGTTCGTGGTAGATCATCTCTCAGACCTACAGACGCTATATGATCATCTTCAACCGAACGTGGCATACACGAACATTTATATGTGCCGCATAGGGTGTACCACAAGTTCATGTTGTGATAACTGTGGCAGCATAGAGACAGTGGAGCACATACTACTCGAATGACCTGCGTACCGCAACATATAACCTGCCAGAACTTGTCACGGCGTGCGTTCCGCCTACCACTAAAATCGGACGGATTCGCAAGTCATGGATTACTTCAACTACAAGGTACCTGGTGGGAGACAGGCCCAGCCAGACTTGCTACCGAAATAAATATTTGCACGAGTTCCCATTCTCTGATCAAGAATCGGTGAGTTAGTCAAACATGTATTGTCGCGATGGGCACAACCAATGCGTGGCAGGGATCCCATGGCCGGAGCTTCTGAGAGGAACCGAGACAAGCCCATATTGCGCCACACCAAGTTGTATGAACATGAACGAAGGTAGTTCAATCATTGTTATATACTCTAATTTTAAATAAGTACCACAAAGCGGTATCAAGGAAGGCAATAGTCGACGTAGGATAAATAATACAAAAATATGTGAGATAGCGCGCACGTAAAAATAAAACCGAAGGGATGCATGCATTGGAAAGAAATGCCGGAGAACGACATTAGCCAAAGGCTGCAATTGCCACTGAATCCGTCCTCACGATTGTACGCGTACAATCCCAGACGCAGATATAGACACAGAACCCACGCTAAATACCTCAATATGCATTGATTTCATTAGGAAACTGATCAAACAAAATAAAAAAATACTAAAACAGGGCATTTTGGTAAAAATATTCGTCAAACATCTTGTGTATCTTTGCTAGCGCTTCCTAAAAAAAAGACAGATATATTTGTGATCGTCAGTCAAAGAAGAATTGTTGTCACTAAAGTTGTGAAGTTGTGAATTGTTGTCAAAAGATCGTTGTCACTAAAGAAGACAAAAGGAAAACAAGAAAACTTGTTTCGGTGAGAGCATTTTCATTTCTTGCCTTTAAACATTTTATGGGTTGTTACTCATACTAATAATATCTGAGGGCTTAACGTCCCCCGACTACCACATGGTTACGAGATACGTCGTATACTGGAGGGCTCCGAAAATTTTGACCACCTCTGCTGATTTAACGTGCACCTAAATCCAAGTACACGGGCCTCAAACATTTTCGCCTTCATAAAAAATGCAGCAGCCACAACCGGTAGTCGATCCCGCGAACCTTCCGTTAAGCAGACGAGTGCCATAACCTCTAGATCACCGCGGCGAGGCTTTATGCGTTGTTGGAGGCTGGAAGAAAGTTGCGTTCGTAAAAGCCCACATTCAGCTACTCCGCCGCAGACATGACGTGATGGAATTAAAACACGATGGGACAAAGGTGAACCAACAGAAATGCTATGACCCTTGAAGCAGCGAGAAAAAAGAAAAAGCAAGAAAATATGGCAATATTTATAACGTGTTATTACGAGACCAACATGCTGAATAAGGGGACAGTGCGCTCAGGCAAGAACAAAAAATACGTGGTCGATCGCTCTTTCTAGAAATCGGTATAGCAAGTAAGCGAAACGTGTCTTCACAGAGGTAGTTGAGCGTTTTGTTTTGTGCATTGTTTCGTCATAAGGGCGAAGGATCGAGTGAATGCTACGGCAACAAATTGCAACGTCATGCGAAGAACGACAACCAGCTGGAAACTTGCAGCGTGCACCTCAAGCAAAAAGCACGCACGAAATGAGCACACAGAGGATGTGCGCGGACTAACAAATGTCAAAACTGCACACTTAAGTGCGCTGTTTACGGCCACGGCAGCGAGCGACACACTGCCACGGCAGCGAGCGAATTGACCTTTGTGCTCCCCCAAATCATCAGTCTGATAAGCGCGAGCGCAGGAGACACCACGCTCCATGGAGGCGGCACTCATCGAATCGCTAGAGGCGACGACGACCTTTGACAGCGTGCCCAACGCGAGACTGCCACGCCACCTCGCTATTGATAAGGAGCTGAAATTACGGAGCTTTGAGGGGCGCAGGACGGTACATGATGTATAGAAGTGGCTTGCCGTTAGCAATCTTGACAACATGCCATTCTGTTCGTTACCTCTGTATGTACTATTATGCACTGTATTATTATTGTATGATGTGTGAAAGTAAGTAATAAAAAAGCGCGAAAAAGAAACGTTGCGTCACTTAGTGGTTAGCGCAGCGCGCTGCGGATTGAGAGGCCACTAGTTTGACGCCCCAAAACATAACCTTTTCTTCTCCTTTTGTTTTAGCAATCTGTTAGTATATATTTTACGTCTTCACATCTGTTACGGAAATACGTCAGCGGAGGTGTGGTGGACCCCGGCATAAAACACTTTCGTGTTAAAAAAAAGTATCCCTGAAATTGTCACTTGCTCCGACAATTAAACAGTATAAAGCAAGGGAACGGGACGAAAGAGTCTTGCTAGAGCGCTTCTTATCACACAGTGACAGAAATAAACAACGCATGTTGTTCCTCTTTCTGTATTGTTTTATTCCCTTTTTTAACGGGTTTCCAAGCTCAGCGCTGAAGCATTCATTAAAGTACTTTAAATAAAAATTTATTATAACCGCATGAAAGCTGACGCTCTAACACGAGCATTCGGGCAAGGATACGGGTCAGCACAATAAGCAGTTAATACAGAAATAAAATTTCGTTTTGGTGCAGTGTCGTTGTGACCTGTATTCTTCGGAAAGATCTTCCACAGGTACGTGCATTGAAATCGCTCATACATTGTTAGCCTCAGGCTGTGAGGCTACAGAACAAACAAATGATTTTCAATTTAAAAATACCATTCATGCCCTCCTGAGAGCACTGACCATCCTCACCATCGTTTTAATTTTTTCGTCTGACAAGTAAACTTCCCACCCTTTTATGCTATTTGAACTCATATCTCTGATCACCGAGAGATGTATTTACTGGCAATGACATTCTTTTCTTACTTGAATGTGCCATACATTACATGAAAATATTGAAATATGTGCCCCTGCCAGCACGGGATCAAATGATAACAGGCGTGAACAAGTGGGAAAGTGCGTCACATTTATGTTATAACAACAAAAAACTAATAATAATAATAATAATAATAATAATCACAGCATATTCATGGAGTGATTCATGATGAGTGGAGCGGAGCGTCCATCCATCCGTGCATGCGTCCAATAGCGTTAGAGAATGCAGACGGCGAGCGGGTAACACCGACGAGACAGGAGCCAAAGAAGCCAAGCGCAATCGTCAACACGCCCGCTGCTCTGCTTCACGTACGGCGACTATCAAGGAGCCTGAGAGAGGCACTCGTTCTCCGCGTACCCAGGCACAGCCCGTGCAGCAGCTAATCAGAGAGTAGCAGTACAGCGTCATCTAGACTATCCTCACTCAACTGCAGTTTGTACTTTTATGAGACAGCGCCGTCTATTATACTGTTCGGGAGATACTGCCTCCTTTTTTTTTCTCGTCTATTCTTCCCTCGGTTACGCTATGACAAGGTCAGACTAAGGAGAGCTTCGTCCCTAATAATAATAATAATAATAATAATAATAATAATAATAATAATAATAATAATAATAATAATAATAATAATGTTTAGGTTCAACATCCCAAAACCAAGGTATGATTACGAGAGAAGCCGTAGTGGAGGACTCCGGAAATTTCGCCCTCCTGGGGTTCTTTAACGTGCACCAAAATAAGTAGAGCGGCCACTTCTCCGCTTCCATCGCAAACGCGGCCAGGATTCAATCCCGCGACCTGCTGGTCAGCTGTCGGTGAAAAACTATATGGACGAAGCAACGCACATGCATACTACAGTTACATTACAATGACTACCGTTCAAGAGCGGCCTCACAATGCACGTGTTTCATGTAAACAGAGACTTGAATTGCAGTCAAGTGCGGTGTTACAAAGCAGTAACGAAGTCCTTGGGCCGGATGCCCCCAAGCGTGCCTTCCCGTCATCTCGGACATTCTGTGTGGGGGCGGGTTGTCACCTGCACCGGCTCTGTTTGTCTCGGCTGTGCGCTTTGCCTGCGGGGCAGTGGCCACGGGCGGGCCCATCTGGAATGTGCGGAGGGCCGGTTGTGTGCTACAGGAGGGACTGCCGTGAATTTCTCCTGCGTGGTCGCTTCCGAGTCCCCGCACGTGTGCCACGTGCACCTGCCACGTGTGTGAAGGGACACTTGTGTTGTGCTCACGATTAGTGGTTGGTTCCCCGAAGAGACATTCCGCCTATATATTCGGAACTGCACGGCGAGGCAAGGGCAGCAGCCCGCCAGAAGCAATCAGGAGAGCGTCGCGAGAAGAGTCGTCGTTCGGACGTTACTGTCCAACATGTTGCAAATAAACGTCTTGTTAAGTTTTCCTTTACGCCTGTCCCTCTGCCTCAGCTCTCGAGAGTTCTGAACGTCCACGTGGCCTGCGGAATGACGACCACCACCCAGCTCCATGCTACCTACTGGGTCCGCTGCGGCCACCGACGCGGCTCGTAACAGCGGATAAAACATGACACGTATAGAGCGTGCAAAACGTTGACGCGGCACATCCGTCACTCTCGGTGCACTAGCTGGTATACGTGCGCAGCTCTTCTTGCGAAAACAGAAACGCTTACCTGTCTGAAGGTTACGAAGATTGTGGCACGTGTTTATGCCTGACTGACAACGAGAGTGAGCGTCTAATTCCCGTACAATAAGTGCCGACGGATGATCGCATCCTTGCCGCTCAGCCGTGCAACGAGGAAAGGACAAAACATAACATGCAGGGTGTAAGTATAGCCCTGTCACTCGTTCAAAGCAGGCGCAATGGGGTACGACGGACGTCCGTCTACGGTAAGAGGTACAAAATAAAAAAAAAGAAATGGGGTGGTGTGGGAAAATAAAAGCTATTCCTCTCACCCGCAGTGCGGGTTCTGATACGAGGTACTTTGATGTATTGTACACAGTTCAAATTACACGATAAGGTGGAAAGCTAATCACACGTCATCGACGCTTATCGGCGTCTGTCTGCCGAGGCTTGCGTGGGCAGGTTCGTACACCGATGACGAGCGTCCGCGCGATGAGCGAGGGGTGAGCTGCCCGTCTGGCCGCCCACCAATCGAGAAAGGAGAATGCAGCAATTGAGCATAAAAAGGAAGCTGGGCTGCCCGGCGCGCCATACAAACGACGTTGCCTCGAGCTCGCGAGCCGACGTGGTGGCGCCGAAATCTGATACGCAGTCACAACTGGAACTTGTTATTCCTGCAACTCCTCCTCGGAGTGCCACACAGTATCTTTATCTACGCAGCGGCGCTTGTGGCCTTCCTCATCTGAGTATCACGTGTTCCGATCACACCCCACTCTGTCCACGCACCGATAGAGTGCAAACTCGTGATACCCTCTGGTGCCGCGATCGAGGTCGCGTATCAGATCATCCACGCAGGATCGCGCTTGCACTTGGCACTGAGACCACGACGAGTGGAAGGATTGCCTCCCGGACTTGAGCGAGTACACAGCCGACTCCTGCTTGATTGCTGTTCCAGCCGTCTGTAATCGAGAGCTGAGACTCAACGACAAGCTGCTGCGATTGCTGCTGAAAAAAAAAAAAAGGAATTCTTGCTTACCAGCAGTTCACCCAAGAACGGCGAGACAAGCTTTCATCGGATACAGAGACGAAAGGAGGCGACGCTTCCACCGCAGCCCGCAACAATGGCGTTTATGATGCCGGTCGTGAAACAAGACTACGACATATACTCCGGACCTAACAGCCGGAAGAACTCAGTGTGCAGCACGAGTCCCGGCACTAACAAGTCTCGCAGCAGCAGCCGCAACAACAGCGTCTCGAGCTCGCCGACGCAAGCAGCCATCATCACGCCGGAAGAGGCACGCAAGATTCTGATACGAAGACGAAGCCGCGGCATGTCCGAGTGTCTGCCTGACCTCAGGGAGATCGATGACAGCGAGGAACCGCGCCATCAGCGTAGAAGGAGCAGTCTAGGAAAGCTGTCCTGGTCGTCCCTTCACGCCGCTCTGCAGAAGCTGAAGCCGGCTGAGCCGAAGAGCAAGTCGCAGTCATCTGTCAACGAGGACCAGGAGTCTTGACCGTCGTACAACTTGCCCGTGCAGCAAACGGTGGTTTATTGTGTAAATATGGCTTTGTACGTAGACATTTTGTGACTGTCAAAACTGTCTCGAATCGTGGCAGTCCCATTTTTGTGTATATATGCTTGCACTGCACGACCAGGCGTTGCCCGTGTAGTTCTTGTGGCCTTTACTTTGACGAGACATTTAATTTCTCTGTCAGAATAACGTGCCATCACATTTTTCATTAGCGCAGCTCACTCAGATGTCCATATACCATCGGTAATTTCATAGAAAGATCTGAAAGATGCCTAATGTTTCTTCTTTTGTAAATATTGTCAAGAAACCTTTTTTATTGTGTTGGAAATTAGTGCATGACTGAGTCATTTGTACCAGGCGTTACACTGCATTATGTTCATTTACTATGCAGGCCTAACTAGGCCAACCAGCTGGGTAATTATCTCAATTTATCACAATTTCTTATAATGCATCACAACGTCACTCGTTAACGCATTCTGTAATCTGTTTTCTTGATAGTTTTTTACTAGAGAACCAGGCAAAACTGATTCATCATGAACAAAAAAATTGTGCGGCTGGATACCCAAGGTTTCAAATGCGTTTCGTTTTATATCGACTTTGTGGAGGTCGTGTTTTCCAACGTGTTGCCGGCTCTAATATCTTGCTTCTACTTTTCGAATATCTGTTGCATGCAAAACCAAAGTGTCATGTCATAATATTTTATCTGAAAGTCTGCAACCATATTGTGAATATCGGCCATGATGATGCTGATGAGTGAAATAAAAATGTGGCATCCATTCAGCGTCTAAACGTCTGCGTCATTTATTATTGTCTTGATCCTTCAAACTTGGGCTCAGAAAGGATTCATTATAGAGATGCATAAGAAACTGAGCAACGTTTCCGAAAAAAAGAAATGAAGATATAGCGCATTAGAATGTGACACTGTTTTCTCAAGCTACGGCTAACTCCTATTTGATAACGTCCAACTTGCCTAGCTTGTATACCTTTTGTATTATTGAAGGTGTCACATCCCTAGCTGAAATTGTGACGATATTGGTTCTCCTCACTCTAAACTTTCTTTTGTTGCGCTTGAAGCGCCTGTTAATGTTAACTGCATTGCAATTCTTAAATCATGGTGCGAATATACAACTACGTGGGCACTATTGTTATACCACGAAAAGGTATACGTTCATCGCACGCATGCTACTTAAGCGTTTCAAGCGCACCAAGTTAGTTTTCAAAACACAGTGGTTCTGGTTACAAGTTGCCCTAACAGTCATCAACAACGTCTCAGGCGCCCTCTTGAACGTAGTCACCTAACAGCTACAATATAAAGCCGAACAGCATGCCAATTTTTTCGACATTAGAGAACCGTACTGCATTTAACGATAACCCATAGTCTTCCACAGATATGTAACAGGATGCTGCAGTAGAAGCTTACAAATGTTATCTATTTGTTCTCTTATGGCAGAACTTGATGCTCCCGAGCACTAAAGCATCGCACATGCAAATCATACAGTTAGCAAAGATATCTAATTATCGCCAATAAAACGCGCACAGAGATAAACCTCGAAATTTCTGCAACACCAGTCGTCCCGAAGCTTTCGATACGGCATATGTTATCATGCCCAGGCGGCCTCGTAGTGTGACGCATTGATAGCGTCACCATTGAGAGCACATTATCAATTGTGGTTTCAGGCGATTGCGTCATACTACGAACGACACGTTACCTCTGTCGTTTTGAAAACGAAACAACGCTGCATGCGCAACTTGACGGCGTTCTAGTAACGGTCCTCCATTTATTCACAATAAGGCTTCGGAACAGATACGGTAATTGTCGCTTATTCGTGCAATATATACCAACCAAAAGCGTGGCATATGTTCATAAGCAGCATGAAACCACAAAGTTCCATGCTGCTTTTAGATGGATGATGTTATTTTGAATAGATGCCGCAATTTATAAACGACTGACGAAAAAAAATACCTGCGGATTTTTTAAAGTGATAGCTGCACAATTTATGAAATATTCCTGCTATTTATTGCCCTCCTCCACGGTTAGCGGAGACTAAACGCGATCGAATCAGCGTCGACTTTATGCCCAAAACCAGGATGAATTTCGAATGAACTGGCACGGTTTTGGTTTTCATGTCATCTACGCGCTTCAAACATATTCAATTTCTTCCCCTTTTTCATGAACATTGCCCCACGTTGCGGGTTTCTCTAAAACCGATTTTCACTCTCCTAGAAAGCCTGCTAGAATAAAAGTTTCCTCCCCCTTTCTTTCTTTATTTCTTTTATGCATTCTTTCTTTTCCTTCTTCCACGCATTCACTCATGGGTTAGAATTAGAGCGATCTCAGATGCCTCAACAATTTTGAGGCTCAAACAGCTAACTGTTGGAAAGAAAAAACTATTATGTCAGGACACTCCAGCCCAACGACTTCTACTGCCATCAGTGGGAACAGTGACAGAAACATTGTGAAAGTGGGGTGTCGTGGTTTCAGTTCGGGCTTCGGAAGTGGTTGGCTGGCTCCTAGAGGGCGTTGAACGAATGTGTATATCAGCCAAGCTTTGTACATAAAGGACATTTTCCGCCCGGGTCTCGTGTGTGCCACTTTCTCCTCCTTCCCGGCCCACGTTTCGGGCGCCGGGCCTTGCTTTATCCGTGCGTCGTCTCCAACAGAAAGCACGCAGGCAAAACGAGCTGATAATTTCTCAGATTCTAGTAATGGATGAAACAGCGACAAAATTGACAGGCTGCAACGTTTTATTGTCTTGTCTTGTACGAATTACTTTCACAAACATACCGTGTCACCATAATAACACTTTTATTCAATTTTTCAGAGCTATACTCGTAATCTTCAGAAAAATCAAGGGCACAGTGGTCTAAGTGACTAATGTCTTTCTTTATCAGAGTGAGTGCGTACCCGTTATCTCACCTCTGTCAATAAGCGCCTCACAATTGAGCGATAGTTCAAGACGCGTGAGGCAGAAATCAGACTGTGCATGGCATCCGGCAACGTTCTTGACGTTTTCATAACGGTGCCAATGTTTATACACGGCGTCACGCGCCTTTCAGAAGGTGGCAATCGGCTACCAAACAAACAACAGGTGCCGCTATCACACGTGGAGCGGCAGAGAAATGTGTGAGAAAGGCTAACACGCACGAGTTCCCTGTCACCTGCCGATAAGCTAAAGAGGAGGACGCACACACAGGACGTCAAAGTGAGGAACCTTCATAGCTAACGCAGCTATTGCAGGTGATACGTCACCGGACGCCATTGCAGATGATAACGGCCGTGGTCACGCGGTTTCTGAGAGAAGCGAAGATAAGGCCGGGCCAGCTTAGCTTAAGAGCACATTACGATATTCTTTAAGGTGAAGAATGCGTTCTGGGGAGAGTGGGTATACTGAGGAACAGCGGTGGCGTAAATGCGTCATCATTATAGGGTACCGATCATAAACGAAATGAGTGACGATTTATAAGCACTAATGTTTAATTAAAGCCATTAATCAGATTCTGTTGTTTTAAGCACCTTAATCAAGACGCGGCTATGAAGGATGCTTATGAGAGGGACTGTAGAATAATTTTGACCCTCTGGAGTTCCTTGACAAACACCTGGACCTAAGCTAGCATGCAGATAGCAAAAATACAGACAGACAATGCGATAAATGGTGTAACATAAATTCTGTGTTACTGTATGTTTTTTTATATATCACTGCCCTTTCCCTTGTTCAAAACTTGAAAACCGTTTACCTGCCGCATTTGTTTTTCCGAATTACGCTTTCCGAATGTACCGCAAGCCATTTAGGTGGTGGACGTCGCTATAATAACGTTTACAGCTTCAGCGATGCGCCAAGTACATTGGCGTTTACCTCATACGCCAAACGGCTGATTCTCTAGACAATTTTTGTGGCACTGCACCTGTACAAACTGTTGTGTACAGCGCTTAGAATGCTACAAGCGCTGCCTCGAAGACGCGTATTAGATACCCTACCGCAAATCGGATGGAGGGGAAATGTCCGTGTACTAAAATTTCAGCTGCCTGTCAAAGCACGACGGTTGGTAAGAAAAATCCAAGATTCCCCACGAGGGAGTGCCTCAAGACCATATATCGTGGTTTTGGCATACAAAAACGGATAACATAAACGATAACTACTCACCTGGGATATACGGTATTAGGTCAATTTCACGCTCGGTGGAACCAATCTCTGAGACAGTTATGAAATGCAAGATAAGTTCCCGAATTAGTGTAATCGACGTTTGAATTGTCTTCTGTTTGGGTGTCCCTGCGCCTATAGTTGCCTTGCGCTGAACGGGCATTAACCAATACACGGTGAAATGCGGTGAGAATGAGTAGTTTTTTGTCACTTAATTAACTGCCAAACCACTTCTCGAGAACCTTGTTTCAAGCCCCGTCCAAGTGGTCTAGAGGATACGGTACTCGAATACTGACCAGTAGGTCACGGATCGAATCTCTACTCCGGCGGCCATATTTCGATGAAGGAAAATGTTAGAGGCCCGTGAACTTGGATTGATGTGTGCCAGGACACCGAATTTTCCGGAGCCTTCCGTTACGGCGTCCCTCATGATCGCGTCGTGGTTTTGGGACGTCAAAACCGACTGTTCAACTTCACACAGATTCCTACACGTGCTTAGGATCTGGGTATTGAACCAGTTCCTACGTCACATTCTACTTCTAAAGGCGCAATCAGAGCTGGGAAGAACCTTTTTGGGGGAGGGGGGGGGGGACTGGGTTGTGTTTTGATGGTAGCGACAACCTTCTTTTCGAGGTTATCGGTGCAGTGAGCTCTCCGGCCGTAACATTTACCTTCTAGGCGGGCCCAGCTAACCGTTACAGAGCGAGCCAAGATTCCAGCCCCGACGCAGTCGAATGTAGGTTGGGAGAGATTAGATAAACAGTTGCTACAAGACGTGTTACACGCGTGCCTTTCTGGGATATCTCTGGCGCGCCAGGAAAGCTGGGCGCAGAAACGTAACAGCGCGTTTTCTATACTGCAACCACATGTAGACGTTCTCACTCGCCTCGACTGTTAATGGGGCATTCTCTATTCAGTTTCACAGTAAACGTAAGCTTAAGCTGCGGTTTGAAGCACTTGAAATCCTGGAAACTGCAGCGTCAGCACAAGGCTCGACTGAGAGCAACGAATGCGCTCAACCCTTGAGATGCGAGGACTCGTTTATTCAAGCGTGCACTCGGGTACAGAAGCAGTCAAAGGTGGCGCCATCTCTCGATTACAGGAGCACACAACTATAAGGTCACCTAGCGCCGACCTTCGACGCTGCAGAAGCCTTTGACATATACAACCTTTATTAGAAATGGTTTGCTTAAGCTTCAAAAGGCACTGAAAGCATTGGAAACCGGCCAGACAATTGTGCTTCTCAGTATAAATCAAACTATCGAATATTTGGAGTTTAAATTATTGGCAGTACACAAATCCTCTTGGCCATCTAGGGTGATGTTTTTGACATTTACCACGCGTAAATCATGCTGTACATGGCCACCGACGACTATTACGCATTTCACTCAGCTGAAGAGACACCGTACAAACGTACTGGACACAGTCGTCCAAATCTAACGTATGCACCTCATTAGTATTCAGGAGTACATAGAAGCTAACGCCCAGAATTATATTCGGTAAACTGTTGAGCCTATAGAAACTATGGTGAGATGTAGGTGTCACACATGTCCCGTTTATTAGGGAGGCAATCGCCGGGCTAATTCCAAGAGCCGAAGTATCGGCCCCCCGAACCGCACCACGAAAGCGTTGACAATATAGAAGTG